GTCGAATAAAATCGACGGATCGCAACAGCCCTACTTTTATCCAAAGACAGCTGTATTAGTACTGTTGTACTGTAAAATAAAATTATTATTTTTATATTATTTTTCTTAGCTGCATTTAATTTTTATGAAGTTATTTACAATTTTTTTTTGCAGTGAAAGATTTTAGATTTTTTTTTTTTTAGCCTAATAGCCTAATAATTATATAATATATAATAAATTTATTATACAACAAATTATATTATAATGATTTTTTTTTTGCAGTGAAATATTTTGTTATAATTTAGTATTTTTTAGAAATAGCCTAATAATTATATAATATATAATAAATTTATTATACGGCAAATTATATTATAATGATTTTTTTTTTTTTTGCAGTGAAATATTTTGTTATAATTTAGTATTTTTTAGAAATAGCCTAATAATTATATAATATATATAATAAATTTATTATACAACAAATTATATTATAATAATTTTTTTTTTTTGCAGTGAAATATTTTTATAATTTAGTATTTTTTTAGAAATAGCCTAATAATTATATAATATATATCATACATTTATTATACGGCAAATTATATTATAATGATTTTTATCACAAAAATCACAATAAATGTATTTTTTTTTCTCCAAACCGGTTTGACTTCTCTACGCTAGTTAAGAGTGCCGGGTTGGTCAATAGCAGCTCTCTCGGTCTCTTTGTTTATTAGGTTCTCAGTAGAGCTGCATATGGCTGCCGTGTGCTTCGTGGCAGTTTTGAACTGGTTGTTCTGATGAACAGGGCTCATCTGTGAAGCAGCTGTTTGCTGGGATTTTAGCTGTGAGCCGTGTCTCTGATTCTTAGAATTACCTTTGAGCAAATCCATCTTAAAGGTGAGGTGTGCTGCAGTGGTGATATCTGAATGATGTGAACTCACACAGACTGAGCCGCAGCCGGTTCTGAAGCGTCTTGTTTCCTCTTTCAGAAACCTCCTTCCTTTAGACACTTCATACATTCAGTTTCGGTTTACTGAGAGAGGTGTGTGACGTGACTTCATGCTTTCCAGGACACGAGTTCATGTGTTTAGAGAGCAAACTGGAGCATTAAATCCTATCAAGCTTTGAAGTGCCTTAGTGTGGTTTTAGAGTAGTTATTAAATAATTAATTAGCCTATTGTTTCAAATCCATGCTTTTGTGGAAGACGATATTGATTTTACTGATGCATGATGATCTCAATCTTTTAGTCTGTGCCTTTTCACTTAATGCATGAGTAAAATTTGTTTATTATTAGTTTATTTTTAATTTGATTGATTCTATTAATACATTTAAGTAATTTTTTTTAAATAAAAATAAGTCTCGGCTGTTAAATTCTGTCAGTGTTGTCAGAAAAATCACACAATAAATGTTTTGAGTTGTTTAAGTGTTAACTATATCTGACAATTAATTGCAAAAAAGCAATTGAATTTAATAGTTTGGGCTCTGTTGTTAATTAAATTAGTTTTTATTTTTATTTAGCTTAGCACTGCAGAAGAGACTTGTTGACTGGTTATATGCATTTTCTATATTATTATTACTATTATTATGTAGCTATATTAATATATAATAATTACAATATTTTAGCCAAATGCTGCAGCCTTACAAATAAGCACAGCAAAGCTGTAATAATTTTTTAAAGCACATTTAAAATTCACAATTTTATACATTTAATGAAATTTAACATTATACATTTAATTTAATATTATAAAACGGATAGTTCCGGTGCTTGATTCTGATTGGCTGAGCCGCGTTCGAAGCTGTTGTAAATTACTCTACAAACACACACCTTTGTTTACGTTTGTGTGTTTGGTGGAACACACAAAGCTACATTGTTTGGTGGAAGAATACTGTTTTTATTAATATCATTACACTTTATTTGCTCTGTTTTATTCTGTGAAACCTTATGGAATAACCGTTTTATAAAAGCAATAAGCCCCGTGAAGCCGTGGTTTACAGTGAATTTATAACAGCTCCGCTTCGCGTCGTCCCTAACAACGCCCCTTAGCTGTTATAAATTCACTGTAAACCACGGCTTCTTGGGGCTTATTGCTTTATTATGCATATTATAATATGACATGTTCCTGAAATATCTCCAAGATAAATCGACTTTAATTTTTTTATTAATTTATTTATATTTTTATTTAGCTTCGCTTTGGTGTTTGGCTCTCTCACCCTTTATATTTATTTTCTACATTGTTATAATTATTATATTTGTTATATATAAAGCCCTGAGCTCCAGCAGGAGTGAACTGCTGTTGAAGGAGTTTGCGAGCGCAGTGAGATGGTCTCCTATTAGAATAAGCTCAGAAACAGCCTCTGTTACGGCTCATGAGAAAGAGCTCGCGCTTCAAACCCGCTGACGCCGTCGAAACATGAAGAACACCAGTGATTCTCAAATCCTGATGATGTGTGCCTTGAGAAAAGTCACCTCAGACGACCACTTCCTGTCAGCGATGTCAGTCGCAGGAAGTGAAAGAGTCACGGGTCACCCTTTCCTTCAGAAGATGTGCAGATCTAGTCTCATTTAGAATTGATTACTTGTCTTTTATTCCAAACACTGCACATGTTGGAGTCCAGGTGGACTTTTCGCGTTTTAAGTGTTGATTTCAGGACAAATCTGTGGATTTAAAGATGGTTAAATGTGTTAAAATACATTCTTATTGGTCAGTGAGAGCATGATGAGATTATCTAAAACGTAATAAACAGAATATGTGGAGTTCAGTGGATGCCAGGCGTTCCAGTCCTGCTGAATGTGTGGATCTAGTTGTTTAATCTCTTAACCCTCTGGGCCTCTTCGGTCGTTTTTGACCGAAAAATGTTATATTTTGACATTTTTTAAATCGTAGCTTCATCGGAATGAGATGACACTTGGTGACTTTTGTCGCATTAGCAATATGAACACACAAAACAATCTTTTAGAATGGCTAAATATAAATCTAAATGCAAAACCTGATTAAATAAAGAAATGATGTCTAAAAAACAACGTGCATCCAAAAGCTTCTGTATATATTGATATAGGGAGCTATACAGGAGGTTACGCAACATTACGGCACAATCATGGCACAATTCTCACTTCAAAAAATGGATTTTAAATGCCTTCACTCTATTTTAATGTGAAATAATGTATTTATAAAAAAAATAATAATACAGAAATGAAGAAATAAAAAAAAAATAATAATTCTAATGGAACAAATGGCTCATTAAAATTGTATCGATATTGCGTAGTATCATAAAATTCCCTCAAAATTATAAATAAGAATCAAAAAATATTATTGAACAAAAACGTATTACATTGATTTTCCTGAAAAAAGTTTTTTTTATTAAAAAATATATAAATGTTTTAGTGTTTTATTTTAAATTGTTTTATTTTTAATTGAATTTTTAATTATATTATAATTAATTATTTATTTTAATTTAGCATTTTTATGGTTTAATTAAATTGCTTTTCATCAACTTTCAAACCCCAGGTTTTTTGTCCTTGTGCTAAACTTTAAAAATCATGCATAGGTTGTTTTTATTTGCTTTGTGTTTCACTTATTTCTCTCAGTGAATATAGCTCTGGGAGCTGGAATGATGCTGAATTATAAACAAATGAACAAACCTGTCCTCGTGTCCATCTCTGTGTCTGTCTCAGGACTTTTATTGCGGTTTTATTTTTGTGTTAGTAAAGCTTCAGAGCGCTGATGTGGTTGTGTGTGTGTGTGTGCGATGGTCTCTTTCAGGTACTATAGAGGCACTCACGGCGTTATAGTGGTTTATGACGTCTCCAGCGCCGAGTCGTTCGTGAACGTCAAACGCTGGCTTCATGAAATCAATCAAAACTGTGACGACGTCTGTCGAATATTAGGTAAATACATTGTTGCTTTTTTCAATGAATCTCTCAAAGAAACGTGTGAAAGTTACAGTTTCGAATATAGCTTCCACAAAGTTACATGCGAAGAAGTTGAAATTGCAGTAGTTGATAAATGAGTAAAAATATTTTTATCACTATCAAGATTTAAGGTTAATTGTGTATTTGTGTGTTATATATATATATATATATATATACAGTATATACAGTGGGTACGGAAAGTATTCAGACCCCCTTAAATTTTTCACTCTTTGTTATATTGCAGCCATTTGCAAATGGCTGCAATATAACAAAGAGTGAAAAATTGAAGGGGGTCTGAATACTTTCCGTACCCACTGTATATAATTTTTTATTTTTTACAAGTATTAATGTTCTCAATGAATGCGTACTCATAAAAAGTGCATTCCAAATGTGTTTTTAATCCATTTTATATATTCATTTAAATGGCCTTTTTGTTTAAAAACAGTCAAATTAATTTCAGCTGCCCTTAATGAAAATGTTGGACATTTAATATTATTAGGCTATATTATTTTGCATATTTTTATATTGACATTTTTTTTCTAGCATTGCAGTAATGAGATTTTTGAAGGAAAATGTCTTTAATTGACTTATTTACACAATACAAAAAAAAGACAATGGTCCTAATAATATGCATAATTTTCTTTATCTTTAATTTTTAATATTTTGTGGATGAAATTTACATTTAGTCATTTTCCAGACCCTTTTGTCCAAAGCGAATAACAATTGACTTACAAATATGAACTTGACATTTTTGCTGGTATTTGATCAGATTCAGTTTTCAGCGTGTTATGATTGGTTTTAACGCTCGTTTCCTCTGCTCTGGGTTCAGTGGGTAATAAGAATGACGATCCCGCCTCTAAAGTGGTGGAGACCAATGACGCGCAGAAGTTTGCTGAGCAGATGGGCATCCGACTGTTTGAGACCAGCGCCAAAGAGAACGTCAACGTCGAGGACGTAAGTCAAGCTTTTCAAACATACTTCGATTAAACACCATCAGGTTACAGAAAATAAAGCCGTTAATGGAGTCAGATCATGAAAAGCAGCAATAAAAGGGTTTGATGTGACATACTAGAGCCCTCAGAAACGTTTTCTCCAGACCAAACATGTTTGATCTGCATGTGGATTGATTCGATGCTGTAAGTCACATTTATTTCTATAGCGCTTTATAAAGTACAGATCGTTTCATAGCAGCTGCACGGTAACAAACACGGAAAATAACATAATGTTAATGTTGTCAAATCAGAACTAATTCACTTTCAGCACTAAAGCAGCTCTACAGAAGACAGTAGAGTTATTATTCAGATCGGTTCAGGTCAGTGTTGTTTTCCAGTGGACTTAAAAGAAATAATGTACTTCCAGGTTATTATAGTTAACTAAAATTGTCACATGATATTAAATAAATGTTAACTGAAATTGAAAATACAATATAAAAAAATCAGTCACATGTTTTTCTTTTAGCATGTTGCCAAGGCAACATTTCTCATTTTCATTTAGTTTCACTTGAGGTACTCAAATAAGTAAGGCTAAAACTTATATATATATATATATATACATATATATATATATATGTATGTATATATATATATATAT